AGGAGGGGCCGGCGCCCCGCGCCCCCCCCCCCCCCCCTGCCATATCGGCAGGGGCTGTTGGGAAATGGAGTCTGGATGCCAGCCAGATCCACCATTTTGCCCACCCCTGTCCTATACAGTGAAAATATCACCTAATAGTGCTTGGCATTGCCACATTAACCAATTACAGGATAAGTGTGATTGCCCAGTGGAGTACAGAAGCAACAGTTGCAGCCCCACCTGTTGTTGAGCCACCAACCTTGCAACCTGAAGCAAAGACCAGTAACACTCCACAAAAAAGCAGCAATGCTCACTGGTCAGGACCAAATAATGCTAAGCAACCTACATGCAATAAGGAGATCTCTGAATCCGACATGGATAATGGAAGGCCATCCCCTCAGAACTGTGTTCAGGGGAGTAGTAGCCACTAACCTGTAAGGAAATGGGAACATGAACCTGTTGTAATAGTTGGTGCAGCACATTCTCAGGGCAGCAGTCAAGGGGATCAACATTAACCAGAAAACAAACACAAAACACTTGCAGCCTGGGCATAACGGGCATTGATGCAAGTGTGCCAAGAGTGGAGGCACTTTAATGAGAGCAGGTCTAAGAGCCACTCTAATTAAAGTGCTCGGAGAGTCACATGTATCAGTGTCCCCAGCCTCATTTAACATGGTTAAAGCTCTCCCACCACCATTTTTCAGCGTGGAGACACTGATACATGTGACGCTGGAGTCTGTTGGAGCATAGTAATTACCATGCTCCAGCAGACTCAATTAATCAAGTCTGCTCCAACACGGTGAAATTACAGCACATTGGAGCAGCCTTGCTGCACATGTACAGGTGACTTATGTTGCTGTCATATCAAAAGTAGGGGGATGAGATTGAGATATATGAATGTATTGAATCTGCACATGTAAATCTAAAGTTATTTTCTTGTTGAATCTAGTAATGGCAATGAATATATACTTTTATCTTATCTTTACAATATATTCTCTGCTTGCCAGTCTGGCAGCTTTCTTTCCCATATTTGTGCCTAGAGTCATTTATTTATGAATGCCCAATATAAAAAATCTAAATAAAATGAAACTGCTGCTTATGCACACAATCTAGCATTTTCATTGACAGTCTCAGAAAAGAAACCAATGACTACATGGTCATTAAACTGAATTTTAAGTTCTAGTAACAGACATTTTTTTCCAGAAAAGTCATTCACATTCCAAAACCTTTCATCTGAGTGCTCACAACATCATCAGTAAATGTGAGTTACAACCTCAGTGTTTTCATTGTTTGCTTTTATAGCCTCATAATTTTTTACTCAATTTGAGCACTTAATAATCACAAGTGACAGTTTCTTTCCTATCAGCCTATTTTAATTTGGCCTTTAACTATCAGAATTAAATTAATATAGCACCTTGTTGAAGACCTTCCATTATCACCTCAGCTTTTTCCAAGCTATTTCAGAGCCTCCTACCTTTGAGCATTTCTCCAACACTTCCTCCTTAAACTTCAGAAACTTCTCCTGGATCTCTAGCTGATTAAGGGCAAAGGACAGGAAGTGTGTAAAAGGCTGCTTCTTGCGGAAACTCTCAAGCAGAACATCAATCCGTGTTTGGGCAGATATGACACCGCTACGCTGCTGTCCTGTAATCACTAAAAGAAAACAAATAACATTCAGCGCAACTTATTAACAAATTTTGAGCAAGGTGGGAAGGGTGAAAAAATATTTTAAATGGACTTTGGGTCATTCCAACCAATCAGAGAAGTTCATTGATTAATGGACAAAAACAAGATTAATTGCTGAAGATAAGCATAATCTTATGGGACAAGTGTTTCTCTACTACAGAGCAGTCTTGGCCTGCTTTTCCAAGCAGGGGGCGGGGAGGGGGGAAATCCTCCTTTAACATTCCACTTGGAACACAAAATATATTAATAAAAAAACAAAAAAAACCAAGCTGGCTGTGTGGGGTAGATTCCAGGCAGCCTAAGCGCAGAAGCCACAAGCAGCTGGGTAGAGCTACAGCAGGGAGAGGCAGGATGACCATTAAGCCAAAGGGGAAACCCCTGTGCTTAGAATCACCTGACTGGAAGGGACAGCACCCAGGGCACATAAGCCAAGCACTAGAACTAAGGAGGGCAGTCTGGCCCTGCATACTACACAGAGCAGATCTCCTAGGGAAAAAGGGGCTCCAGCCGGCAGCCTGGCAACCACCCTCACCACCCATAAGAATGGGAGGCGAGAGCCCAAGGGGAGAGAGGGTTTGCAGGAAGGCATAAACCCAAAGTTGGGGGAGATTTTGTTGAAAGTGGTCGCTTGTATTTGTGTTGCATTTGAGTTGGGACCAGAGGACCGAGCTGTGGCTAAGGGGCCAGCAGGGAGGCCACAGGGATGCCCAAAAAGCATTCCGCATATACCCTGTAGGGCTCAGGGACCACAAGGGGGCTGAACAGCACCAGAGCTGCCTGGCCTGGCCTGGGGACCCACATGGCTGAGGGGTGCATAAGCAGCCTTGTCCAAGTCAGTGACCCCAGGGAGCTGAGGGGAGGGAGAAAAAAAAAGGAACAGCCTTCCCTGGGTCTGGGACCTCAAGGGGCCCAGAACTTGGGAAGTGTGAGAGACAGGGGGCCAGAGGCCAAGAGACTGACATAAGAACAGAGCTGAGGCCAAGAAAGCCAGGCTTGAAAAAAATGGGCCACAGCTGGAGCCTACCAGCCAAAATAACAGTGGACTAAAGCCAAGAGGAAAGAGGCCCCTACAGGAAGATCCAGGACATTGTCTGAATAACTTCTGTGAGGTATAAGGGTGGCTATAGGAGTAGAAGGAGGCCACAAACAGGCAATGGGTGCCTTGAGGCTCTGGACAGGGCTGGTGGGGTGGGGGCAACTAGGACTGGAAGGACAGAACTGAGGGTCAGCTACGTATGGGAGGAACCCGCTGGCAAACGTAGATTAGGGCTTGATCTGGGGCCTTGGGACAGCCTCCCTTCTACAATAAAAATAATTCCATTAAGACATGGCAGACAAAAGGAAAAGGTGGGGGGTACCCCAAGGAGCTGAAACAGGGTAGGAACCATGTGGCCACCAGGGATTGTCGCGGCTGCCCCTGGGGCCTGGTACTGCTACATCAATACTATCATTAGTGGGCAGCATTACTAGCAGCATGAATATGAGCATTTATACTGCTTCTTATTATTAATATTCCTCAAATATTTCAGGGCTCATTGTGGCAGGCATTGTAAACAACAATCCCAACCCCAAATTGCTCACAAGTTAAAGGACAAGTTTAAACAGTTATCTACTTGCACTACTATTTCCCTGGTTTACGTACATCACTTTTTCCCTTTAAACTTTATTACATGATATAGAATGACTGAGGAATAGATGAAGCAACAACATTCTCTTTGAATTGCCTAGCAACACTAAACCTTCATACCTTTATTCCAAGCTTGAAAGAGGAAAGGTAGAACGTTTTATCCCACAACATATAAACAAGATAAATTTTGCTAGGCTATTAATTTTACTTCAGTTTCTTACATAACCTCTGCTTTCCTGAAGTTAGGAGCATGCCACTAAAAAGGCTGCCTCCTCTTCTCGAGGAAGTTAGTTTCTAAATGTTTATTATGGTAACATCTACAATCCTCTCAGTTCAGCTGCTCCTTAATGGTCTAGATTACCATTTAATATTTGCATGCTGGCAACTCCTTTTTTAAAAAAGAAAAAAACGACATGAAAATGTATGAAAGGTAAAAGTAATAATAAGCCTATGTATTGTATTTATTCAAATCTAATATGAATTTTTTTCCTCATTCAAACCCAGGGTCAAAGTTGGAACTGCAACCACCACCCACCTCCCCAACCCTGTCACCTCTTTGCTCTAGTCTCTGCCCTGCACTGCTGCTTACCTCCCTCTTGCAGCTCTGGCTCCTACTGAGGGCCACTCCAGCTGGGAAAAGGAAGCACAGAGCACCTGCTGCTTCCAGCCAGAGCCTGATCATACAATGGCAGTGGCAGCTCTGACCCTGACCTCAACAGCTGCTGCATGGCCAGGCTTGGACCAGAGGCAGCACATGCTCTGTGCTCCCTAACCCTGGCAGAAGCAGGGCTTAAACAGACACCATGGGGAAGGTCAGACATCAGGGGGGACAAGTGGTAAGGAGTGCCAAGCTGGGGGGAGATGCCAAGGGAGGGGTGCAAGTGGAGGATGCAGGTAGCGGTAGGTACAGGCACCATGGCAGCACATGTGTGGTGCACAGGCACCAGAGTGGGGCAGACAGTCAGGGGGGCAAGTGATGGGGGAGGACAGGGGTCAGGTCACTTGATTCCACTGCTGCCTGCCCCCCTGCCACTGCTTGCCCCACTGCCTGCATTTATACACAACAAATTTATAAATTTTCCATGTATAGAAAGTAATTATTGGGGGGGGGGGGGGGTGTTAAATTCAGGGTCAACTTGGATTCAGGTAAATATGGTAAATCATATGCATCCTTCATGAGAATTGCCAAGAGGACTTGAACTAAAAAAGAAAGATTTTGAGGAGTGGGAAAGTGATCTTGTCTTTGCTTTAAATTGTAACACTTCCAGCACCTCACAACTATCCTCATTTCCTTTCATGATTCCTGGAGGAGTTGTGACCCACCAGTTGAGAAACACTGGTCTAGCTGCTCACTTCTGTACAGAAATGGGTAATCCGATCGTAGGGTCAAATTTTATTCAGTTATGTAATATTCACACTTAAAAATCTACACTATCAGCACCATAATGCTCATAAAATGCCACAATGCATGACTTCTTTTTGACATTCTATTCCCTCTGTAGAAGCTAAACATATACAATAAGTTATGGGTATTATGATGTTCCCTTTTCCTACAAAAAGGAAATATAACTAGAGTATATGTTTCAAATGAGCATGTTTTCATTGTAAAAGTCTGATGACAGCTACTAACAGAATATTTCTAAAATAAAAAGAAAGAAAACATAAGAATGTTTAATTCATTTAAAGTTCATTTCATGTGGATTTACAATGCAAGGTATTTTCTCTGAATGCGTACATATAATTCCCCATTGATAATAATGGTAATAAGAATCCTAGAGAAACTCAGACATAGGTTAATTCTAAAGCCCAGAAATGGTTTGTCAGGCTTTAGCAGGATTACTCTCAGGCTTAAAATTATGTCTGTGCTTAACAGTTTGCTGGACTAGAAATTTAAATTGCATTTTTCATGCAAAAATCTTATAGCACTTTACAAAGGTGAGCAAGATATCAAAGGTAAGTTAAAGTGTTAAATGACTTTCCAAGGTCATCGATCAAGTCACTATCATGTCACAGCTAAGGATAGAAGCAAGATCTCCCAATTCCCATCTCTGTGCCCAAAATAGCATCAAGGGGAGAGTGAGTAAAATCACATTTCTGTCATGCACACTGAAGCTCACCAATTTCTCCTTCCATTCCAGGCTTTGGAATGCTGATAGATGTTCGGGTCTCCATTTCCAGCCTCTTTTTGGTTTCTCCTTTCTTCCCAATTATATACCTAAAGGCATAAAAGTATAACGAAGTCAAATACAGAATGTCACTACTATCTTTTTCTGACCAGTGCTTTATTTAGAAGGAGAGGGGGCCAGGGAGGGGAAGGGGAAGAATAAAGTTTACTATAGAATCTGTAGAAACTACTACATCATTCCAAATTTAGAATAGTGAACATGTACGGAGATCTACAAAACACAGACCAAAGTGGTACAGTTCAGAGTAGTGATTTTTCGTCATACAGAGCTACAGCTGGGTACATACATTTTTATTTGAACACTAGCACAGTATTGAGAAGATGATCAAAATACCTAGAAAAGGCTTTCCAGTCAGCTACCGACTTCCACATCAGCATTAGGTCATAAATCCTAAGTGCTCCCAGGGCTTTCACATCTGCCCCAACAGAGCTGCTAACTCCAGTTTCCTCCCCATATCATTCCGTCCTCCTATTTACTTTTATGTTCTGGTTAAGAGATGCCCAAAAATACCGTCAATGGCAAGAAAGCAGAGTCTACAGTCAGTCCATAATACAGAGACAGTTAAGAGCTAAATGTGGAGTGTGGACATGTGGAAAAAAAGGGATCCCCTTTCCATTCCTTTTACCCTCCCAAGTACCGAACACTCCTCAAAATGAAAAATGAGTGTGAGGTGCATTTTCTACACCTGACCTCTGAGAATGACTGACTCCTTTGGTAAACAACAAACATAGCAGGTTTGCTCACTTGTATAGTGGACTGGGGGCCTTCAATTTGCATTGAAAACCTCTCTCAGTCTCTTCCACTGTGAAGGCATCACAAGGCTCATCTGCACAATCCCCAGGGCCTTAAAAAAGAAGTGAAAAAAACCAATTAGAAACTTCTCTATAAAGGCTAGGAGTATTTTATGTGGTGCAATATTCTCACCAGCCTTCAACTCCCAAGGTTAAATAAAGGAACAAATTGGCTCCTTCTGTCACAGCCAACTGCATTTTATTTCACCTTACTACCCGCTCTGAAAAACATAATGACTATTTTTAAATCTCCCAAGCCTGGAAGCTTAAGGAAGTAGCAGTTACAGCCCAATACAGAACAGATTTTTTCTTGGCTATGATTTGCACTACAGCCTGGTGGGATTTCCCTCCCCAAGTTCAAGTACTGTTCTGCCTGTTGGGCAGTAACCTACAGATCTTTTTAGAAAACAGAGCAACAGCAATGATAGCTTCAGCAGCAAATCCTGAGAGACAAAGGAAAATTAAAGTTAATTTTGGTTTGAGAGCTCAAGAGTAGTGCAAACAGTGTCTGGACAAAGAGGGAATTCTCATGCCTTCAGCAAGGAAACAAACACTAATCCCTCTACTTGAAAAATTATGGCAAATTGACCAAACATTCCAAAATAAGGATGACAAAGAAATATGAGAAAAACATGTGTTTTACAGAAATCTCAACATTTTTATTGATATATTTTTTAAACAAATTTAGAGAGGACATAATTTTCTTGCTTTTCCCTAGTCAGTAAATAATTCATAGCCAGGTATCCAAGTCACCTTCATAGTAACCCAAACTTCTATTCATAACTGGAATTTACTCCATTCTTTGGCCAAAAGGATAGTGAGAGAAAAAGGCAAGTACAATAAAAGCCCTGTTATCCAGCATTTTACTAAGCCACATTTCTATTAACCAGAATTTCCAGCTGCCTGCCCCGCTGCAGGGAATAGAGGGAAAGCTTGCACGCAGCAACCACTACTGCCACCCACCACCCTGCACTGTCGCCGCTCTGCGTCCAGCAACCGCCATCCGCCCACCCCCCAATTCTGCATCTGGCTAGAAACCCCCATTCCTCAGGTGATCGCCATTTTTACCTCCCCACTCATGCCGGAAAACAGGGCTTTTACTGTATTCATCTACTCTACCCTGCGTATTAAAGCCCTGGTTTTGCTGTGTGAGCAGAACCTTATGCCCGCAAACTGCTCTTTGCAGATTAAGAGCCTAAATCTACTATCTCCCTCTGACTTTTAAATGAAAATTCCCCCACTTTGTAACATGTTACGATCTCACTTCCTTGGCCCCTGTATATTACATTTCCTACCTGTATAGAAATCCTCCTCCTCTTCATTCTGACAGGATTGCTCTTGAATGAAATTCTTCCTGTAAATGCGCTCTCCAATCCTTATAAGTGTTGGACGCAGGACTTCCATTGGGCTCTTCTTGCTAGTAATAGCACTCTACCAAAATAAAAATTGGTTCTGCTAGTATAGCCATAGAAAATAGAAATTCACAAGCTTTCCGTATAGAGTTTCTGAAAGGATACTATGGAAGCATAAGGAGCAACTCCATATTTTAGGTTAGTTCTGCACTTAAAGAGGAAATATAAATCCACATGAATAATAAAGTAACAGTGTATGTTTCCTAAATTTAAACTATTTATTCTTTCCATATAAAATGAATTTTCTGAGAATTTACAAGTGAACAGTTAAAAATATAAAAATCCGTTAAAAATGAGAAATTTTAAGAATGTAAAATAGCTACCACTGCCTGTCAGGTTTAGGATTTACTTTTTGCCCACAATGATCTCGGTAACTAAACACAATAGATTCCCAGAAATTCCCAAGTTTTAATTCAAACTAATTAAACTAAAAGAAGCTACAATTTAATATCATATACAATTAGGGGTCCTTTTTCCAGCTACTCTTTGTAAATGGAATTCTTCTGTCAACTGCAGGTGAAAGAAATGTTGGTCTACTGCAAAGAATAGACAAAATAAAAAACAAAGTAAAAAAACAGACCTCTTTCAAAATCATGGCCATCTACCAGTGTTCTCCAAATGACTATAGCCACAGATGCCCTGAGTTAGCCACCATTTTGAAAGGAGTTTCTCCCTCACATTATTAATGGGATTGTTTGTTCTGCTCAAAGCATAGAAATGGATGACAGCTGTAGCTTTAGCCTACTGGGGCTAAATTGAGATGACAGACAACAGACATTTTCTAAGAGGACCATCTTTTTTGGTAGCTACATTTTCAGTTATGAAAAATACAACACAAATTACTTAATTATACGTATCTTTTAAAAAAGAACCATTGCACTAGATCAACTCAAAAGATATGTCATAAGGGGCAGGAAAATGAAGGTGTACATGTCTACATGAAGGGGATTTGGGGGTACATGCACACACAGTAAAACAGGGAGGTCCAAAGAAGAGAGGACGTTTGAGATGATATTCAGGGGAAGCAACAGGAAAGTGCAGAAGACTAGAAATTTGGAGGGCATGAGAGAAATATTGCTGAATCCCTTGTTATTTTGTACTGTTTTTGTAAAACAAAGCTGCTGTAAACCCAGTTTAACCACCCCATACGCTCTGTTTTGTGATGATAGAATGGTGTAAAACAGTCAGTCTGCCCCTAAATTTGTCCCTAAAAGTTAAAAACTGTAAAAAATTATTTAATATTGATATTTCATCTCTTTGGTGCCTTAGAAATGCAACGTGGTAACATTCTGCTTTCTTATTTAGGGTTCATATAGTACATTTTTAATTAAAAAGGAAATCTCATAGGAAGAACTAAGTTAAAGTGCAGTTATGGTTGAGGCATACATATAAAAAATGTCTGTGACGCTACATTATGAGGATGTTGCTATTATCCCAGAATTATGCATTCTAAACTTGATAAATTCAGTTTATCTTAAAATAAATCTAAGCATTTTAACTATGGAAGAAATAGGGTATATCCACACAGCTTTCATTTTATCACAGTCTTCAACCTTATATAGCTGGAACTCAATTAAAAATGTCATGTAGATTTGATTTATTTAAAAAAAAGTACCCCAACTAGTTTTTATAACTGAGAGTTTCTTTTTTTTCAGGAACTTTACATATACTTTATGGAGACAGAATGGGAAAAACAAAGCAGTGTAACACATCTTTAAAAATCATTTTACTTTGAATTTGGGTCCACAAATACATTGTCACAGATTCACTGCCTTTCTTAAAAACACAGTGATTGTCAAGACATTACACAAGAACCATGACTGTGATTTAAATAAAAATATACCCTGCTAGGTCTCATGGCTGTGGAGAAAAAATTGAAAACTGACAAGTGTAGACAGGCATAGTATTTTTCTAGGGGGAAGTTTGTGCTAAGATTGTAGAGTTACCAATCCGCTGTTCCTATTTAAGTGGGTGTGAGGTCCCCCCCAGTGCTGTGCATGCGTAAGCTTATAGTGGTAATGTGAGAGTGATGTTGTAGCTATGATGGTCCAGATGTTATGCATGAAGCAACAATTTCTCAGTGATATCTTTTATAGAGACAACTACATAGATGAGATAAAATTAGACAAGTTTTTGAATACAAGACATTTTTCATCAGGTCTGTAAAGATTTCTAACTTTATCCCAACTACATAGTTGGCCCAGTTAATAGTGGCTCATTCATGTTAACTGTCAGTCCTTGCAGGACAACCTTGTCAGGCTGCGTGCTCTTTTTGGCCACCTACCGCCAGAGAAGCAGCAATGCAGCTTGGAAGGGCGCTGTGGGTAAAGGCTCCTCTTTTGTCCCAGATTTTGACTTGGATCAATCAGGACTCCCTCAGATACGGCATCTGTTCATAGCCTGAGATGCAGGCACCTTAAAAGCTTTAAAAAAACCTAATGAAACCTAGGCTGCATGTGTCTCAGGTTTTCAGGTTCTTCTCCATGAGCTCTTCGGTCTCACAATTTTAAATTCCATGGACCTTCGGAGCCTACCGGACTTGTGATTTTTGAGTGCTTGAGGCTGGCAAATTGCACCGATGCTGGGATCCAGCTAACAGAGCACGAGGCAGCATCAGAGCCCTCAGGCCCCTGCAGACTTACATCTGCAACGAATCATAATATACCCCGCGGTAAAGGGGTTGTCCCAGGATAACCATGGTGCATCCAGCACAAAACAGGTACTGTTTTGAAGAGCGGCTTCTTTGTCAGGCCGCGACACATCTAGTGTATGGCCAGCCACAGGCTTCCTGTGTCCCACGGTGCCCGCCCGCCCAGGCCCCGGCCCCGAGCAAGGAGGGGGAGGGAAGGGGCAGGGCCGCCGGGCCCCGCCCCCCGCGACGCCTCTCTGACGGGCGACGCCAAGCGTGCTCGTGCTCGTGCCCGTGCAACATGTACGGCGAGCACGAGCACGCACGCCGCCTGCGCCCAGCCGTCCGTGCAGCCAGGTGAGCACGCGGGAGGTTGCCAGGCCGAACCGGGGCGGGGTGGAGCGGGCTGCGGTGCTGCGCTGCCTGGACCGGACCGGACCTGGCTGTAGCCGCCACCGCCGCACTCACCGGGATGCGGCTCGACACAGGGGGTGGGAAGGGCAGCTGTCGGAGAGGCAGCGCGGACGCGGGCAGTAGCGCCCACTTCAATGCGCAAGCGCACGCGGCAATTGCCGCTGCCTCCTGCCGCGCAGGCGCAGAAAAGGTGAAGTTGATGCCCGCAGTTCCCCCTCGCGTGCAGGCGCAGGAACTGTGGGGAAGTTCTTGCCCGCAACTTCCTCCCTTGTGTGCGCAGACGCAGAAGCTGGAGCCCCACCTTCAAAGCTCACAGCCGCCACGTACGCGCGCAGGCGCAGTAGCCGCTGAGAAGTTCTTGCCAGAGCCTGTGCGCGGGCCACGCATGGCCCTTGTGCCTCGCCTTCCTATTCTGACTCTCTCTCTCTCTCTCTCTAGGTCAGGACAGGGAACCATGGCGGCATCCTCCTCGTCCTCCTCAGCTGGCGGGGTCAGTGGGAGCTCGGTGACCGGCTCCGGGTTTAGTGTCTCGGACTTGGCCCCACCACGGAAAGCGCTCTTCACTTATCCCAAAGGAGCTGGAGAAATGTTGGAAGGTGCGATGTCTCTCCCAGACATGTGCATGAGTCCCAGCTGGAGCCTGCACTGCCCCTGTCTCAGCTGTACCCAGTGAACTTGAGTTGCTAAAGGGAAGGGCGTTGGTGCAGGGAAAGGCTGGCAAGGGTCTCGCTTCCAGAGTCTCCTTGCCCCACAGCTTGTCCTTCCTTCCTAACCGGTCCAGTCCTCGCGCACTTAAATCTATTCATTTCTAAAACTAAATAGGACTTCTCTGTAGCCAACAAAATCTCAGGCTTCTCAGGAAGAAAGACAGAAGCAGGGCAGGCTGGCTCTCCTTTATTGTTGGCTTCATCTCTGTTTAGCAAAAATGACAGGTGATTGATGTGACTGTATTTAGTGTCATAAATTCACATTGCTGGCTGGTTCTAGCACAGAAGCAGACTGGAAACGGCTTGTGTCTCTGTTATCGAGGAGCTGACAGGCCTGATCTGCCTTCGCTATAGGTTAATGCTGTGCTGAGAGTTAAGTTACACCACTGCTTCAGGTGATGGCTGATGTCTTCTGCTGCCTCTCCCCCATAAATCCAATAGCATGGAAAGAACTTGTGGAAGTGGTGCAAAGCCATATGCAGGACTAAGCTGCAGGATCACTGCAATAGGGTTGGGCCCACAACATGGCCCTTTCACAGTTTGGCTGTGAAGCTGTATTACACTGATCAATCAGGGCTGTAGTACTTTTTTTTCCCTCACATGATTCCAGGGAAGTCACAGCAAGGCTAACCTTAGTCTGTTTTGTTTGATTTTTCTGAACTGCTTATTTTCATCTAAAACCTAATCCTGAGCTCCTCTGCAGCTAGATCTTGCCATATGGGAGCTCACGTGATGCATACATGTTAAGAAATTACTCCCACTTCCCCTGGATTTTACTTGCATTTCATATAATTTGTATTTTCTGCCCCCTTTCATTTTAATTGTTGGAAGGAGAGAGTGCCTGAGCACATGGAAGGGTCCTTCAGTTGTCTGATGCACTGCTTTTCAACCTGGAATTTAAACTCCTTTTAGTTCTATAAGACTGGGGTTTTGTATGGAAGTGTTTTATGTCCAGTTATGAATCTGATGCAACCTGTTTTCTTAACGTGCAGTTTGGCAGAGTAATAGATTTGCAATCTAACCATCAGGTTTGAAACAACCTTTAGTTTCACTGAATTTAGTTAAAATCTTAACTGTTAACTCTGCTCTAGAGAGAATGAGAGCTATGCAGTTTACTTAAGGGAGGAAGGTCTTGTCTGCTGAGGTTGTACCCATTGCCCTACCTTCTGCTGACTATAAGAGTGGGAGTGACTGTCAGCACAGATGATTGTCCCAATGTTTGTGGCTGGAATTTCCCTCCTCCCCATAGCTGTGCAATGAGCTGTTTGT